TGGTCCCTCACGCTGTGGAGAAAGATGCTGGGGGAGATTCACAGCAGGGTCTTCTCTGAGGACGGGAAAGGTACTGAACAGGGCAGATAAGGGAGCCAGGCCCACCCAAGAGAAGCAGAAGTGGCCCAGGTCCGTGGGCAAGCACCCTGGGGCTCACCTCAGGGAGCGGGTTTCAGCTGTGAAGGCCCACAGGCTCACCCCAGGAGGAAAAGGCAGCGAATTGTATCAGCTGTGAGCAGAAGCCATCGTGTGCTAATGATGGCAGTCTGCGTGATGTCAAGTGGCTGTCCTGGACAAGCGTGGTCCTCTCCCCCCTTTCAGTGGGGATGATCCCCCCCCCACTGGTTGCACACACAGGTTATTGGGGAGTCATTCTGGGCCCCTCTTCTCTCGTACCCCCATTTTCCACCGGCAGTTCTTGTGAATTCCCCCGTTCACATGTCTCCAATCCATTCCTCTCCCCTACCCTAAACTCCCAATCCGCCTGCTTCCTAACCTCTGCATTACTTTCCTAACCCATCACCTTGATGATGCCTCTTGCCTCCCTCCAGGCTGTTCTTTCACAGCAACCCGAGCGCTCTCAGTAAACACAGAACTCATCATGACACCCCCACCTGAAGACCCTTGATGGCCCTTCTGTGCTCAGAATGAAGTTTAAATTCTCCAGTGCTGCCTACAAACCCGCTTATGATCTGGCCCTGGCCGCTCAGCTTCATTCGTCCCGCTCAAACTCTAACTTCCACTCCTGAACTGCTGAGATTTTTCCCCCCACATGCAGTGCTCTTGCCTGGCTTTTGTACCATGGGTTCCCTCCGCCCAAAGTGCCCCTTTTCTTCCTCTCCTGGCTTATTCCTACTCCTCCTTTTTTTCCCTTCACTTTTTAAAACACTGGAGCGTAATTTGTATACAATAAGATTTATCCTTTATAGTCCTGTGAGGTTTGACAAAGCCATACAGTTGTGTAACCACCACCGCGGTAAAGAACAGTCCCCTCACCCCAAGGACTTTCCTCAGCCTCCTTTAGCGCCAACACTACTTTCCATGACCTGCTTCTGGCAACCACTGATCTGTTTTCTGTTTTGTACTGTTCAGAAGGTCCTAAAAATGAAACCATTCGGTATATAGCCTTTTGAGGATGGGTTTTTCTACCTAGCGTAATGCATTTGATATTCATCCCTGCTGTTGTATCAGTAGTCTGTTTCCTCTTTATTGCTGAGAGCGTTTGTTGTCTAGATGCACCCCAACTTATCCTTTGGCCAGTGGATAGGACATTTGGGGTTTTTTTTCCAGGAGATGGTGAACAAAGCCGCCATAAACGTTTGTGTACAGGGTTTTGTGTGCCCCTAGGTTTTCATTTCCCTCCGGAAAATACCTAGGAGTGGGCCTCCTGTATGTGTAACATTCTAAGAAACTGCCACACCGTTTTCCAGAGTTGCTGCACCAGTTTGTATTCCCATGGCAACATGAGATTTTGAGTTTCCCCACATCTTCACCAGAACTCATTTGGTACATTTATTTAACTTCCTGACATTGTACTAAGTGTTAGCGGTATCACGCTGTGGTTTTAATTTCCACTTCCCTGATGACTAATGATGGTGATTTAAAAAAAAATCTCTGCCCGGTCTTCACTTCGTCCAAAAAGCCAGTGTTTACGCTCCGTCCGCAGAATGATGAGGTCCTGTCACTTTGTGGTTCCCTGATAACCAACACTTATCGCCACCTTGGGCTTAACCCACTAAAAGCTAGCACTGTTTTCCAGTTCCCTCCCTGCTCATCACGCTGGTCTCCACGTCTCGGTCTCTCTCTCTCTCTCTCTCTCTCTCTCTCTCTCT